CCTATATATAAACAGTAAAACGTCAGTTCTGATGTTAAAACTAACGATTTGCATAAACATTCTTAGTTAAACAACCAATGAATCATGAACAGAACATATTGTTTCTGTTTAATATCTAAATAAGAGAACTGAAGTCCTCGTGTAGGTTGGAATGACCCATCATGGCCTAAAATAAGAGTTCAGCAGTTCCTGCCAGTTTGTGTGTTCTCAGGCCTGTGCGAGACCTGCTTTGAGGCAGTAACTCCTGTTTCTTCACTCGAGGTGACCCCTACATTAGCTTTTTTTGTTCTTCACAGACACCTAAAACATGGAAGATGGGATGATTTACTAGCAAACCAGAGCATTTAAAAAATCCCCCCCTGAACCAAACAGCAGGAAAAGCTTCTGGAAAAGGACATACCGTATAAATTGATATATCGAACACAGCTCTCAACCACCACCGGTATCGCCTGCCCCGAATCCTGCAGAGAATCAAATCAGAATGAGTAAAAGCATCTAAAACCAAACTTAATAATAGAAAACTGTCATGCTAACATAGTTATTATTATTAGAAACTCAGAACTTAGTTATTTAAGAAGTAATTAAAAATATTTTAAGTTTATAGAAGAAATACTGTACAGATTAAGCTAGTGTTTGTGCCACTTTAATAGTATAGTTGCAACGTTAAACAGTTCAGAGGCACAGAAACGCCTGTTAGCAAATGAAACAGTGTGAAGACCTGGCCTTGCTGGCATGAGACTGAGTACCTGAGTCCGGGCTCGGACATTCCGTCGTCCTCTGGGCAGAGAGCAGAAAGGCGCGCAGACAGAGAGGAAGAGAAGCAACAACAACCACAAAAAGGTTAGAGACAGAGACAGATCTCACAGAGGCCTGGCCTGAGAGAGAAGCCGAAGCACCGGCGGCTTGTAGGACACGAGGACGTGTCCTGAGGGATGACCGAGGTGGGCTGGGGAGGCCTGCTGCCTAAAAGCACGAGGAAGATCTTTCAAACATCAAGGGCTGATTTTGAAAGTTTTGACAGCACTGTGCAGAAATCTTGGGTCATTCCTCATTCCTTTGTGTTTTACGATTTTTTTTTTTTGTTGTTCTTAAACTGATCTTTTTTTTTTCTTTGGACTTTTATTAAATATCTTGTTTGTTAACCAAGTTATTAATTCAGCTTTAAAAAAAAATCTCAATTCACTTACACTTTTTTTTTTCATGAATAGCCATCAGCCATGAAACTCAAATTATTCAGCATCTGGTAGAAAGCCTGGCTCTCGCTTTACTAAAAACTCAGATTTTGCCTATCTTGAAAATAACTCATCACAAAGTCACATTTGACCATTCTTTTCTAAAACTTGAAAACTATGAAGAAAGGGCATTGAGCAAGAGGAAATGAGTGAAAAAACATTTGGATTAAAGAGCGGTCACAGGCGAGAGGACACCCAAAGGACTGCTAGCAAGACAGCTGAGCTCATGGAGAAACAAAGGGCACAGATGGGCCAGTACCTGAATGAAGGCCTCCATATTGCCGTTAAACAGCTTATGGTTAAAAATGGAGCGAGGTCTACACTTCCTCATTCTCTGGGGTTTAGGGGGAAGAGTGGGGGGCCTGGGGAGACGGTGGGGGTTATAGGGTTGGTACATGGTAAACATGAATAAACAATATCACAAAACGTATAAATGCAGATGGAAATTCTAATTATTTTTCAGTAATTTACTTTACCTATTCATTGGGAGCAAAACGATTTCTCAACTTTGATTGATAACGGGGAAAAATGGTGAACGTTAATAATAATAATAATAATGATGAATTTTATTTATAACGCACTTTACATTTTAGAAAAAAATCTCAAAATGCTACAATCAAATACACAGAGTTGTTAAGTAACTAAGTACAAATACTTTGTTACTCTACTTAAGTAGAATTTTTGGGTGTCTGTACTTTACTTGAATAATTATTTTTCAGCCTACATTTTACTTCTACTCCTTACATTTTCCAACAATTATCTATCAATTAATCCAGTTTGTTAWTATTAAAAAACTCTATCATTATAAATTGTGCCTCCTAGATAGAGTGAATTTAATTCTGGATGAATGAGAAGTATAAATATATACAATTCTGATACAGTATTAGTTTGTACACAAACAAATCAAGTCACACTCCAGCAGGCCATAATTATTAAAATAAATAAAAAGTGAATATATATTACAGATTTTTTGGTTCCAACTTGGACTCATAACCCAGTAGGGTTTTCCAAATATACAAAGACCTCAAACACCAATTAAAACTGGTTGTGAGTTTAATAACGTTGGAAGACAAATAGAAGCCACCTAAAAAAGAGGAACCATCACGTTTAGTTAATTTTTTCTAATTCTCCAGCTAGAAATAGACCAGAGGGTTGTTAGTGGTACCAAAAGTATCAAATGTAAACTTTGAGTTGTGCTTACATCAATAACTTTTCCTTTTGTATTCATTAAGAAAATCAACAGTAAAAAAATATTACTGCACCACATAAAGTAACAAAGACAAAAACAGTTCATATATATCTAAAAATAATTACTGTTTTAATACTTTTGTACATGGCGTGTGCATGCAAACTGTTAWTTAGAACTAGACTTGGTAACACCGTCTAAAACCACCTGCTGGATTTGCTCAAGACCCAAAAAGATAAATGTGTTACGCTGTGGTTAAGCTTGAGGTTGACTGCATCTTCTTCCTTCCTCTATAGAAGATTTAAACAAACAGGAAGTTGTCTGTGGCTTTAAAATAGAGCACACTGTCTTGACCCATTTGCTTTGCACACTTTGGAGCAAAAATATTCAGCTATTCCTTTAAATGGATCTTATAAATAAGTAATTAGAAACCAAACAAATGACCTCACAGTTGTTTATGAGTCTTTGACTCACTTTTGTTTTTGTACATAACTAAAAGTACGTTTAAAAGCAGAGCATTATAGAAGTTATTGGTCTCGTTCCTGATTTGAGAAAATGTTTTTGGCTGAGCCACCTTCCAACATGCAGCAAATTGTTCACCAAATCAAAACTGTTGAGAAACATTCTACTCCCACAATGCACTGGTTCCCAACCCTGGTCCTCAAGTACCCCTATCCAGCATGTTTTACTTGTTTCCCTGCTATTCAGCAGGTCTTCAGAAGATTGTTAATCACTCATTCATTCAAACCAGGTGTGTCAAAYCAGGGAAACATCTAAACAATGCAGGAAAGGAGTCCTTGAGGACCAGGGTTGAGAATCACTGCTTTAATACATAAATCTGATTTATTATTTACAAATAAATGGCAAAGAATCAATGGCTTCCAGAGGCAACATTAAAAAACACAAGTCAATATTATATTTTGAAATTGTCTCATCAAGCTCAGAGAAGCTCTAGAGGTGTTGGTCAACATTKAAAGCAGTGATTTTTAGATGTTTCCCTGATTTGACACCCCTGGTTTGAATGAATGAGTGATTAACAATCTTCTGAAGACATGCTGAACAGCAGGGAAACACGTAAAACAATGCTGGATAGGGGTACATGAGGACCAGGGTTGGGAACCACTGCCACAATGTATCGGCACCCACACACATCGGTCACCTCGTACTCAGTCTTTAGTCATCGGGCATCTTACCTTGTTGTTCCATATTCAGCCCTCTCCCCTTAAAGCAGGAAGCACAGGGACAGGAGGGAAAAAAAGAAGTCTTAATTAGAATATGCTTATTTTACAATCACAGCCGTTAGTGGTACGGTTGACTGCCGGCTGATTATACAAGGCTGGCAGATGGAGACGGAAAGGAGCGTTGTAAGAAAAAAAAAAGGGAGGGGGGGCATCTATTCAGCCAGAGTGAATGGGGTTGAGCGCCACGGCTGCGCCTGACTCCCTGCCAGACAGCGGTCATTCAGCGGTCGCCCTGGAAACGGCACAAGAGCCCCCAGAAGGGGACGGCCTGTCGACTCTCTCGCCGCTAAGTGGAAAATGTAGCCAGGGGCAACAGGAGAGGGAGCCCATTTGTACAGTGGGGTAACTTCATCACATCTGCAGCATACCCACAAAAATATTATCCTGTCAGAAATTAACTCGTTGGAACACGTAAAGAGGCTTTCAGTGCAATTTCTTTTCATGTCAAACAAATAAGTCTAACAGAAACAGAAATAGAAGAATAGAAGATATTTGCTTAGTAATAAATAAAACCACATTTTATAACATTATTGGGAATTTAAAAAGAAAAAGTAATGGTTGACAGGTTTTAATTAATTGTAGGTCAAATAATGTTAAAGCTGACAGAACAACTACATTTGTTTAATATTTTAGTAAAACCTTTTGGTCCAAATGTGACCCATATCAGATTCTTTTATGACTTGTTATGACTTGTGTTTTTTCAGATCTGTCTTGTTGTTTTGGGCTTCAKCTATAGAAGGTACAAATGGSTCTTTGAAGGGATCTGGATCTTGATGAGCCATAGGGCTGCATGATATTAGAAAAACCAGCGATGTGCTATATTGGTGCTTAATACTATTTCGATGACAATGTGATTTGCGATAAATGAACAAATACCAAATACATAACTATGTAGTTTTGATGTCTTTCTGTTCTGGATTCAGAGCAAAACAAAATTATTAAAACCCCATCAAAAACAAACAAACAAAAACAAACAAACAAAAAAAAAACTAAAATGTTTTTTTTAATGAAGGGATCCATCCAATTGGCCAAATACATTAAGGGCTTTATTTCACTGGTGAAATACTTCAAACTTCCGTCTGAGTGTCAAAAYTCGAAAATGCAAACTTTTGAGCCAACCATTTATTGCAGTTTATGCAGTTGTTGCGATATGCCTATTGCGCAGGCTGTTATCGCGATGACGTTGAATTTTCGATATATTGTGCAGCCCTAATGAGCCATTTGTTCCACGTTCAATGTTGAATGAGTGATGTCATCACGTATGGTGTAGGTGATGACGTAATCGAGTCACGTGGGCGGTACCATGGCGGTAACCCTCTGCCCTTTCCCCCTGAGCTGCTGTGCTCCACCCCTCTCAACTTGGTTCATTGTAACGAGCTGTTCAAGGGACTCGGATTGACCATGATTGTCTCTAGCTTCAAGGTGTAGATCATTCACACTGGAGTGGTCGCATTTCAGCTATGGTGTGTGTGCTGGAAATATAATTGCATAACTTACTAACTACAACAATGTGAATGACCACACAGACAAAAAATATTAGGATGTGAGCAAAACATGGTCGTTGAGCATGTTTTGCATTGTGAACGTAACCTTTGTAATTACCCATTACCGACCTTTCTTCCTATAGACCTACAACACAGAAGGCCCTGTCACACAGGCTTTAGACAACTGATGCCAACTTATGAAAAGTTTGTCCAACACTAAAGATGTCAAAACTGACAATGGATTTTATTTTATTTTTTTAAATCTACTGGAAGCCTCTTTTAGACCTATACATATTGTAATGGTAACAATTAGATTGAATATAAAGTCGATATGAGTAAAATAGTCATAACAAATTTTGAACAAGTCTTACCTTCTCCTAATGTCTGCTTCAGGAGGTCATGTTTAGCCTGCAGTTTCACAATCAGATTGCTGCCATTCAAATACTCCTTGTATTTCTGCAGTTCAAACACATTTAAAAAAATAAATACCACCAGAGATATTTGTAGATTTTTTTWAAATAAATTTATCGTTTGCATTTGTGTAAGAACTTACAGTAAAGTAGAAGCCCTCAGTTTCCTGCTGATTGGCTCGCCTTTTAGAGATGTTGGCCTTGCTCATGTAGGAGTCTGACGAAGCCGATTTGACCGACTCGGTGGACTGGCTGTGCTGGAAGGCGTCTGAAACATCGAAGTCCTCCACGGTGAGCATATCCTGAAGGGTCTGCATGGTGGCGTCAAGAGTCTTCTTCACCTGATGACAAATATTTTGACATTTAGAAACATCCCTAATTACAACCTTTGTGTCTAAGACAATTACATTTAATGCCTAATAATAAAACAGGTTCAGCTAAAACAGAAGAATATATCTACCATTTATATCCATATTGTCAAACACAAATAAGATGTGGTGCCGACAAGACTGCAGGACCTTTGCACAACAGTTTAACTGCATGTGAGGCAGAGATGAAGAGGGTGTGCATTTCCATATTCACAACACATATTCACAGCTTAGTGACCTTTAAATCGGTCTGGGTGAGTCATACTGACCTTGTTAGATAGAAAAGCTGTGGAAAAAGTCTCTACCATTGAGGGAGATAAATGTTCCTATTTTAATGTGTTTCTGGTAAAAAGATACAAGCTCGTGGGGTTCACATTTTCAACAGAAACTCCTTGTTTTGTCAAGTTATCTGGTCACAGCCTAAAATCTAACTAAAGCCTTTTTTATACAGTAACTTGTTGCCTTTTGTGGACAACTCTATGACTCTCCTGGTGGAGGGATAAGAGTCTGCACAATAAACTTTCAGTGAGCTTGTTTCATTTACAAAACACCAGCTGGCTCAGTCCCCACTTGAGATTTCTGAGATTACTTACCTCTTCGTTTTCTATTTTCAGCGTGGCGAGGCGAGACTGCAGCTGGTGGTGACGCATCAAGAGCTCCGTCTGGATTGGCTGCTGTGCGCTTACCTGACACACCTGGGG